CAGAAAGGGGCGAATTTGCAGCGCTTTTAGACTTGTTCCTAACCACCAATCCTGACTCGTACACAATTCAAGTAGATACTCCACTTGGTTCGTCCGATCATAAACTTATAATAACAAAGTGCGAAATGCTCATCCCACCAAGCCTACAACCACTTCCTCGTAAAATGTGGCACTATAAATCGGCAAAATGGAATGACCTAAAACAGTATTACCTGGATTTTCCATGGCAAGAGGTTTGCTTTAAAACAGCTGATCCCACTATTTGCTGTAATGAAATAACACAAGTAATCTTATCTGGAATGGACGCATATATCCCACATACAACTAAACGTAGAGCTAATGCAAAACCTTGGTTCAACAGCCAGTGTCAAACGGCTGTACAGAAAAAACAGAGAGCATATAACCTTTGGAAACGACAACAAACCGCTCAAAACCACACAGAATTTATAGAAGCCAGAAATAGTTGCAAAATTACTATTGACTCCGCTAAAGAAACATACAATCAAAGAATAAAAAACAGGTTGCTGAATTGTCCAAGTAGTTCTAGGTCTTTTTGGTCTCTTGCAAAAGCTGTTGGATCTAACTTCACCAAGTCATCCATACCACCACTTACAGATAAAAATAATCACTTAGCCACAACATCAGAGGAAAAAGCCAATATGCTTGCCCAAATGTTTTCCTCCAACTCCAACCTCACAGTGCCAAACGGAAAAACTCCACCGTTCATTGAAAGGATTTCCCATAGTATGCCAGAGGTACCCTTTTGTCACAGAGAAATACGAAAATCCCTAAAAAAGCTGGATACAAACAAAGCAATGGGTCCGGATGGCATTCCCGCAATAGTACTCAAAAATTGCGCCAACGAACTTACCCCAACTTTCGCAAAATTATTCAATTTGTCTTACAGGCAAGGAGTATATCCATCATCATGGAAGTCTGCCGCAGTACAACCCATTCCAAAGAAAGGAAAAAAGACAGATCCGTTAAACTATAGACCAATTGCCCTACTTCCGGTGATATCAAAAGTAATGGAAAGAGTTCTGAACAATCACCTAACCAAGTACTTGGAAAAGTACAAAATTATCAACGATAAGCAATACGGATTTCGAAAATATAGATCAACTGGCGATTTACTTACATACGTCACTCACTTATGGCAAAAAGCGATTGAGTTGCGGGGTGAAACAAGAACAATTGCCTTAGATATATCTAAAGCATTCGACAAAGTTTGGCATGAAAATCTGCTCAACAAGCTCAAAGCAATGGGATTATCGCCGAAACTTTGCACTTGGTTTGAAAGTTACCTAAAGGACAGATCCATTTATGTTGCACTGGATGGCCAGAACTCCAACTCTTACCAAATAAATGCTGGTGTGCCACAGGGAGCAATCCTTTCGCCAACTCTTTTCCTGATTTACATAAATGACCTCATAGATAAAACAGTAAATCCAGTTTATTGCTTTGCAGACGATGGCAATGTAGTCTCCTCACTCATACCACCCACAGGTCTTTCCGCACGTGAATTCCATCATCTTAGACTAACTCAAATATCGCAGATAAATAACGACCTGGAGATAATAGAGGACTGGGGTAACAAAAACCTTGTACAGTTCAACGCACAGAAAACCCAAGCAGCTCTGTTTTCAAAAAAGAACACCACCGGTGAGCCAAACATCATGCTATCTGGAAGTGCTGTCACATTACAGAGTCAGTTGAACATCTTGGGGGTTACTGCAGAGACCAACATGTCTTGGCACAGTCACGTGGCAGATATTGCTAAAAGGGCCTCCCAAAAGCTGGGGGTGCTATTTCGTACAAGACATCTGTACACACCAAGCCAATTGCTGACACTCTACAAAGCCCAGATTCGACCAACTATGGAGTACTGCTCACATATATGGAGTGCAGCACCCAAACATACCTTAATGCTTTTGAATACCGTGCAAAAACGAGCTATCAAGTTGATCAATGACCCCGCACTTACTCGTAACTTGGATGGTCTCGAACATCGCAGATCTGTGGGCGATTTATCTCTCTTCTACAGGTACTATCACGGAAAATGCTCTGAAGAGTTGGCACGTATGATTCCACCGAGAGTAGCACCTACCAGGCGAACCCGTCAAACAGACGGTAACCATGAATTTACTGTCAAACTAGAGGCACCAAGAACCTCATTATATCAGAATTCATATCTCTGGAGAACAGCATCGCTGTGGAATAAACTCCCTGCGACGGTTTTCCCTGCAGGTTACAACCTGAACCGTTTCAAGACCAACATACACCGACATTTCCGCGCACTTGCCGCTTCTCGAGCGTGATAGGACATTTCCTTGCGAATGCGCATATCCGTAAAAAAAAAAAAAAAAAAAAAAAAAAAAACAAAAATCAAAAAATTACCTAATAGAAAGAGCCCAGGACCCGACACTATTGGAAACAATTTAATAAAACACTTACCGAGGAAGACCATTATGCAGCTTGTACACATAATAAACGCAGTAATAACTCTACAGCACTTCCCACTAGCGTGGAAACAAGCTGACATAATAGTTTTCCCAAAACCAGGAAAAGACCTTACTCTACCACAATCTTACAGACCCATATCTCTACTAAACTCACTGGGGAAAGTTGCTGAACGAATACTTCTGGACCGGATTTCCTGGACAATCGACACCCTTAACTGCCTCCCCCCGGAGCAGTTTGGGTTCCGACAAAAACATAACACGACCCTAGCAGTAGCGAAGGTGGCTCAAGATGCCTCAATCTCCTTCAATAACCATGAAAGCACCTTCCTGCTGCTACTGGACATCGAGAAGGCCTTCGATAAGGTATGGCACAATGGCCTAATTTACAAACTATTGATCAAACACAATTTTCCACTTCATTTAACATCGCTCATTGTGTCATATCTTAGCAACAGGACCTTCCAAATCAAAACAGAACATGCACATTCACAAACCAAGACAATTAGAGCGGGAGTACCTCAGGGCACGGTATTATCCCCAACTCTATTCAACTTATACATAGCAGACATACCAAAAACTTACAACACTGACATAATGATGTACGCAGATGACACGGCTGTCTACACCAGTGCCTTTTTCGCAGAAGACGCGAGAAGGGCTCTGGTGGACCATCTCAGCCTAATCATCCCCTACCTACGAGACTGGAAAATCACACTAAACTCCTCAAAAACTGAACTACTGACATTAACCAGAAAACGGACAAACAATACAATTGAACCACCTTTAACAATAAACAACGTAGAAATACAAAACAAAACAGCAGTGAAATACCTGGGGGTGGTCCTAGACAAGGGACTCTATGGCCACCCTCAGGTGGCAAACACCTTACGAAAGGCGTACGGGGCTGAAAGACTTCTGGCACCGATCATGAAACCAAATTCATACCTCAGCCCCAGAAACCGCATACACATCTACAAAACCATCATACGGCCAACCCTACTCTACGCAGCCCCCGCATGGAACTTTATCAGCAACTCCCAAAAACTCATACTGCAACGTTACCAAAACCGGATACTCAAGACAGCACTCTCACTCCCCATGGACACCTGAACAGTTGAAGTACATAAACTCGCAGAAATCGACACAATTTTGGAGTATTTCAACGAGGTGTCGATGAAATTCTTCGCGAAAACCATCCACGGACCTGCACTAACCAGAGACCTGGCCACCCTTAGACACGACCCCCAAAACCCAGTAACGCATCGGCCCATACACCACCGACTGCCAATCTACTACCAGACACACGTACCAGGATAGCAGAAAATGTGAATGCGAGAAACAATCTAACACAAACGGTATAATAGCGCAAGGATGTGCGAAAACTAACTCCGCACATTCTTGAGCAACCGACCCACTGCACTCAGCATTACTCAGCAAACAAATTAAACTGGGCAAACCACTCAACCTTGAATGCCTTCTGCTGTCCTGATACAAGCGCTACGCGACAGACGATACTTAACACGTAAACGAGAAGAAGGGTTTTTAGAACTGGTTTTCCCTTCAACGAATCGCGGTAACTACGGAATGACATACAGGACTATAATATGACACAACCGCTTTTAAGTTGGAACCGGAATTAGCCTATAAGGGGCCCTAATAGCTCCAGTAAAGCGCTATAAAGAAACTGGTTGCCACTACCACCCCCTACTTATAAATAGAGCTGGCCATAAAACCGGCCGACGCTCATCGAGCGTCATTTAATTAGTCTATTTAAGTAATAGGTAGGATAAGGTAGTTTTAAGATGATGTTGTAAATACTGTAAATAAATAAATAAATGCTAAAAAATGTACTGATTCAGTTAACCCCGTTTGACGGTACCTATTGAATTTGTCGATGAATGAAATTTTCATTACCTAGTATTAGAGCCGACTCTTCTTTAGACAACCTTTTGGTAGGTACAAGATCATTTTTTATTTTTTGATGCGGTTTTTTGACTGTTTTTTTTGAAATACTGAAGGTTTTATTAGGAGTCAGTCAGGTTGTAGTACTAGGTACTTTTGACGCAGAATAAGAGCTAACTAATTCTACAAGTGTTTTCTTTTTGAAAAGGAAACCATGTTTTCGAATTTTGTTGTTGTATAAGTTAACTCTGTCATTTAAGGTATAAAGTCAGGCCCATAGTTTATTACAGCAACGCGAGATGTCAATGCTGTCGCCCCTATAGTGTGCCCCGACTTGATAGAAAAAAATAGAAATCTTCATTTGGTTAAATTGTGTGATGGAACGTTTTTTCTTTTTTTTGCGAAAATTCGAAGTAGAGAGCGCCTAAAACAAAAGATTAAATTACTTAATAATTTGTTAAGACTCTGAAGGCAGGTGCTGCGTTGTTGTCACCCGAAGAAATTGTTGGAGGCCTACTACATATGGCGCATCTATTCCTTTAAAGTTTAGCCTTTTAAGTTACCGACTCCTTTTCATGCGGTCATCTCTCGCACATGTTTTCAAGTATGCTACTTCTCATTAAAAATAAACACAAATTGAATCCGTCACCATTTTATTTCAATCTTCCAAAATAAAGTAGAGAAAAAACTAATAAGTAGTCATTTTACTCTTGTCCCCATACATCTTCCACAAATCCTGATAAAACTCCCAATCTTCTTGTTTTGGATTCACTGCAGCCACCATGGATTCATTCAACGACATGTAGTTGAAATTTGAAGAGGTTGCGTTGACAGGATTCCAAATTGCTTCATTAAAAACTGCTTCTTCATCTTCAGAAGGAGTTGGATTACTACAAAAATAACCCTATGTGAATACATTTTGTCCCAAAAGAAGATTCTTCAGGCTTGACTTTATTCGATTTTCAATTGATTATGTTCTATACTTACGCATGTTTGACAAAATTGCTCCAAAGCGACACCAGCATTTGGGATACTTTCACATCAGTTTTTGTAAAATTACTATTTTTTGATCCGATTTTGAACAAATAGTTTAAATCTTCAGCATGTCCAGTTCCACCAAATTGCCTTTCAGTGGCATTTGCAGTACCTCCTTCATAGCCAAATACGTAGAAATATACTGTCGTAAAGTGCGACATTAATGTAGCAGCTTGTCTTATTGGTCTGTCGAACTGATCAGCTGACACAAACTATAAAAACAAATTATTTTATTTCAATTTTCAAGAATGGTCGACGATGAGAACATATCATGTTATGGGTTTCAATTGGAACAAATAAAATGTATACAGCTTCAAATCAAAATAGTTAGAGTAATGCAAAACTTCAAGACATGCCTGACAATCACAACTGGCAGTTTTTAAGAAAGAATCATTTCAGTTATCCACTAGGTACAACAATCAGATAAACAATAGTTATAACGTTATTAAAATACCTGTATAATAATATCTTATAATATTTCTGGCTTACATCAACAAGGCCAGGTCCATCCGCAGCAATGGGAAATATTCCGAAAAAGTGATGATATATCTCTCTTCCTGCCACAAATCTTTTGAATTTATTAGTCGTCATGCTGAAGGGGGTCAGGTAAGACTTAAAACTATCGTATTTAAGCACGTAGAGTCTTAATAGAACTAAAAAAAATATAAAGTATAATTTGCTCCACTTGTGGTTTTTTTCAAATTTTTACTAGAAATACTCGAAAAAACAGCCGCTTCATGACTATTTATTCCCATCAATACAGGAACCCGGTTAAAGCGTCCTTTAGTCAAAGCATACTCGCTAGGGTTAATTAAAACAGCCCCGTCTACGTCTGGTTCCATTACGGGGCCCCAGGGAAGTCCTCTGAGTGCATTATTTGAGAAGAGCTATAAAAAAAGTTTTTTAATTGAATAAGATTATTATTAATAGACTGAGGTACTTTTAAAGCTACCCTCCATCCAACTTTATGCAGCCTCTTAGCGTCAATAGTTCTCAACTGTTCTACTAAATAGGTGGTGTTGCTGGAAGGAATTCCCAAACTAGTGGCTAAATTTGTTGAAGTTCTAGAAGCTCTTGTATTCAAGCTCCAAAGATTTAGACTTGTGCCACTATTCATGATTGCTCCATGGAATAGCCCTATGACAAAATTCTTAGTGCTTAGGAGTTTGAGCCGTAGCGTGTTTAGAAATGAAAAATGTGCGATAATCTATAAGCAAACATTATTTTTTAGCGGAAATGGGGGTTCAAAATAAGAAGCTGTAACAACATTGCACAGAAGTGAGAAATTTAGTTATGAGAATAGATACCAAAAGACAATTGACCAATATGGATATCATGTACACTACACTACATAGAACAAAATTGGCAAATGCATCGTAATATCATTACGGATTCCGCGGGTTGACATTCTGACGTATCGCTAATCGCTTTCACCAAACTGCACACAAAAGTTTTATTTGAAACTGACCCTATACAAGGCTTTCATATAAAAATATTCGATCGGGAAATCTCTATAGAATTATGAAAATATGCTGATGTCTATATAATATTAAACAATACAATGGAATAATGGAATTTCCGAATACTCGCGCTCGATTTCCAAACCTTACCAATCTCGCAGCATCTCGACAGGCCACCGATGCGATTTCATCCCAATATGACGCTGTCAAGATGCAACAAATTCCTTCCTACAAGTCCTACAGCTATACCTCCAAACAATTCCATCTCTCTACTGCAGCGTCCCAGCAGTACTATGCCTTCCATGGTCCTTAGAATCATGTCTCTGGAGATAATTTTCTCTACATCTATATTTTTACAATTGTTTAAGGTTTAAAGTCAACCCCCATTTTCTGAACCTTGTGTTTCACCATTTATTTCAAAACGAATAGATGAAGTTTCCCGTTATTTTTATTACGAACTACTATTGCAATTCTACGTGACATATTATATTTTTTTCAAATTTTTTGAACTTGTAGTTTTCTCGCTACTGCAAGAATAGTTGGAAATACGCCTGTAGCTACACTGTTTGAACAAAAATCCGACGAATGAACGTTCAAAATTATTTGTGTTGGTCCAAACTACAACCCTGTTTATGTAAAACAGAATAATACTTCGAATTTCCGCAAAAAAAAGAAAAAACTTTCCATCACACAATTTAATCAAATGCAGATTTCTATTTTTTTTTGACTATCAAGTTAGGGCACACTATAGGGGCGACAGTACTGACATCTCGCGTTGCTGTAATAAACTATATGCCTGACTTTAAACCTTAAAGGTTTTTATCGTCTGTTATATAATTTATAGTGTGTTTATTTTAGTAGCATGCAGACGTAATAATTAAAAGTTGATGAAAAATTTCCTTGTCTCGACTGGGATTTGAACCCAGAACTCCTACATTTCCAGTGTAACGCTTTACCAACTGAGCTACCAAGACCTGTTTCATTTCTACCTTGTCGATCAAGTCTTTCATAAATTTTAAGCTTGTAATGATCCAGAAATTAGACCCGTGAATCACAATGTCTTTCCTGTAAAAATTTAATAATTATCAAATAATCAAAAACTTAATTCCGGTATTTCTAAATCAGTATCGATAAATTAAAAATGAAACAAATTAACGCTAACGTAATTCGACACCCCGCTTGTCATCATCTAAATTAAATTCTTAAAAATAATAATAACGAGGACAGTGTGACATCACTAACATCCGATCAATGAACTTTTTGTTAGCGAAGGCCATCGCGTACCTAATTAATTCGAATGATTTATGGCATTCTTGAACCCATAACGTTTTGACCTCAATAAATCAGAATATTGCGACATAATTAATCGATTTTAGACTAAAAATGATATCAATCTCAAGGAAATTGCGTCATCATAATTGTCATGGACACAGGAATTTCGGAGGGGTATCAAAAGATATAAATACCGCGTTTTTAGTTAGCAGGAAGTTAGTTGCCAGTAAGCAGTTGCCAGTTGTCCAGTTTGAGTTAAAGTCTACAGTACCTAACGAATCAGCCGAGTAAAATCCGCGAAAAGTGCTTTTATGGCCTTGGGAAAAGGTCTTTGAAAAAGTAGCGGAAAGTTTTGAAAGAAAGAACAAATAAATTCGTTCAATAATTATGTGCGGGCTCTAAGTAATCAAAAGGATTAAATTAGATTAGTTTTGTGTTTTATGGACAAAATGTAAGTACTCTATAGTGACGAGATTTATTTTGAATGTAAATGATGAACTTGACTTTGTGTGATTAAACTTTGAATTTTTATGCCCAAAACTTGATGGATTTTGACTAGTAAAACTTTCTGACTTTTATCAATGATTCTGAATGATAAGAAGTGAATTAACAATGACTTTTGTTGACTTTAGTGTTTGTTACTAGAAAAACTTTTGATTTATAATTAACTGTGGAACTTTATTGCATTAAAATTAATAACTTGAGTGTTTTATAAATGAAACATTATTGCATAACTTTAATTGCCTTCAGATATAATGACATTTAATTGTGCAAAGAAAATATGAAGGGAATTTATAATGCATTTAACAGAACATAAATAGTTTCGATTTGAGTAGGGATTATTAAAGAAGTTTGAACTGGATTGTCCAATTGAAGATTAAGGGCTATAGTAACGAACTAATAAGAATTTAAATAATTTTGTATGTCAGCCAGGATGGCGAAAAATAGTAATTGTTCTAATTAAATGGAATAGGAAATTTTGAAAAAAATCTTGAAATAGAATTGTCTTAAAATATTGGAAAGTTGTTAAAGGAAATTTATTGTTCATGAAATGAATTTTGAATTAGGGTTTTTATTTTTCAAGTAGAAATTATTGTAAGGTTTTATAAGAATAAGTTAGTAATACCTATATTGATAAACAAATAGGTAATTATTTTGGTTTTTCATAAGCAATCAGTAAAGGACTTAGAGATTTTAAAGAATTTATATAATTAGGTGAAGGGTAGTTTATTAGGAATGAATCGGAAGTATTGAAATGAATTAACTTATAAGTTATGAGGAATAGTAGGAATAGGGCGTTTCCTATTTAGTAGGGATATTTCATAGGTCCGTAATAATAACAATCTAGAACGGATGTGAAGTAATTGATTTTATAGAAATAAATAAGGATGTAAAGGATTGGCAGATATTTGGCTGATTTTTGGGTTTTATGTATAATAAAATATAATTTAGTACACCTCAGTAGTTTGTTTCTCTCTCTTGCAAATAGACCCTTCCACAGATTTTAGATAGCAACTCCAAGTATATAACCACCATCCAGATACCGCTCGCCATTTACCATCTAACTAATTACATAGAGTACTTGGGGCGTTTTGCTACAAGTTGTTACTTGTGACCATCGGCAATCTTTGGCGGTTACCGTTGGTTGGGAGTGAGTTAGGAGGTATGGGGAACACATTCGCAATTAATGGTTGTTTTGGAATCCATTATCCAACGGTAACCGCCGAAGGTTGCCGATGGTCACAACTAACAACTTAAAAATTAATGAAAGACTTGATCGACGAGGTAGAAATGAAACAGGTTTTGGTAGCTCAGTTGGAAGAGTGTTACACTAGAAATGTAGGGGTCCTGGGTTCAAATCCCAGTCATGACAAGAACATTTTTCATCAATTTTTAATTATTACGTCTGCATGCAACTAACATAAACACACTATAAAATCTATATTTTTGTTCATACTTGTTCATCTTCATCATTCCATCTGTACACCTTACTTAATAGCTCTATGCCTGTCAAATAAATACTTTTTCTACGAGTGTGCGGAAAGTAACTACTTTGCGCACACTTTTGCGAACGCAAAGATGCCCTTTCCCAAAAGTGTGCGCACACTATGCGGGAAAAAAAAATTTCCCGCACACTTTTTTTTCTGGTACCCATAATAAAATCTGGGGACACCCTATTCGGGGGGCAAAGCCCTGCGAGAGCCCATATTTGGGGGGCGGTCCCGCGGGAGCCACTTTTTTGGGGGGCACAGCCCCAAGGGGGCCCCTTTTAGGGAGCGAAGCCCCGCGAGAGCCCTATAGTTGGGGGGGCGGAGCCGTATATTTGGCTGCGAGAGCCCCGCTGGAGCCCCATTTTTGGGGGGCACAGCCCCGTGGGCTCCCTTTTTTAGGGGGCAAAGCCCCACGGAGAGAGGCCGAATTTTTTTTTGCCGATTTAGATATACCTAGTTAGTTACAAAAAATAATTGTTTTTCTACTACCGTGCGTAAAGTACTCACTTTACGCACTATTCAGAAGACGTAAAATTTCACTTCACGCATTAGTGCGTAAAGTAATTCACTTCACACACTAGTGCGTAAAGTAATGTCACTGACAGATGTTGACACTGTCAATTTAGTATCTTTCTGGTAAAATACTTTACGCACAAGTGCGTGAAGTATTTGTTTAAGTTTATTTTTTTACACATTGATTTGATTGGTAGTAGAAAATTTTTTGTATGCAATACGTGCGTAAAGCACCTTTTTTCACTCATGTGATTGTCGCACTCGCCTTAAATTCACATTCGTGAAAAAAGTTTCACTTTACACACTAGTTGCATAAATAACTATTTTCTACTCGCGTGCGCAAAGTAATTACTTTGCATACTCATTTGAGTGCGCAAAGTTGAACTTTGCGCACGGAAACTCATGACTCAACTCATGGCAGGCTCATTTTTGTTACCCATAATTATCCAATTTATACTTGATTTTCCAATGTTTTGATGGTTTCTGGATAAACTAATAACTAATATTCAAAAAGAAGGGTTTTAGCTGAATTAGTGCTTAGTAATTATGACGTTTCCTATTAAAAGTGACCAAATTGGACCACCCTGTCTTACTAGGAATTTGTAAAATATTTGGGACTTAAAAGAATTCCATAAAAATATTCTAGAAATTCCAGAAGATGTTGAAAAATTTTTGGGGATTTCATTTAAAACACTCTTCTGATATTTTTCAAGAAGTTCACCAAAATTTGATTAACTTGGCTTCATTTTGGCTGATTGCAGTGGTGTATTTACTATAGTACTTGTTTCTAACTATAAAGTCCGATGGCGAAGTCACAATTCGCATACCTTGTGTACTTCTCATAGAATAGGATGAAAGGTTCTAGAAAAAAATCACTCTGTGGACTTGTTTCTCGTCAAGGTCGCAAGTCAAAATTTGTAATAGAAATTCTATATTTCAAATCACTTTTTGTTCCTGTTTCTAACTATTGGATCTCATAAATCCACTGTTATGTCGCCTAATTATTCCACTATTAAGCAAAAATTATTACAATTATTGTCTGGAAAATTCTTTGACACTTCTAACACCCAATTAATTTTTTTAAATTTTTTGTCGTGTGACACAAATAGCCTATTCATTTCAACATTAAACTGAAACTTATTTGACAGTTCTAACAGCCAATTAAATTATGTTATTGTTTGTCATGTGACACAAAACACCCAATTATTTCAACATTATACTGAAAACAGCCCTAGGGTTGTTTTCATTCTATGACATTGTCTTGCATATTGCTGTCAGAAAAAATCTGAAATCTGAATAACCCTCGAACATGGATAGATGCTAAAAAACAACGAAGCTGCGGAATGGATAAAAATGGTAACCCCAAAACTAAACCCTTGGGAAGGGGCAAACCTGAAGGTACTACCATCTAAGGATGTTGTTCCTAGAGTAGAAGTATCGGTGTGGATACCCAAAGAACATCTTGATGCTGACGACCCGACAAGAACACTCCGTTATCTAAACGAGGCGATAGACGCGGATGACTGCAAGGTGTTCAACATCAAGGTAGAACCAAAAGGCTCCATTCTCGTTGTGGAAATAGACGAGAACTCTCTGAAGGTGCTAACCAACCAGCTTTACCTTGGCCTCACAATGCTAATCTTCAAGGTTCTCGATCCAAAAGCCAAAAACGCTACGGGTCCTTCAGATAAACCTGCAGCATAAGAAGGCTGCAACTGCTGCCTTCTGCAAACCCTTCGAGGCAGGGGGAATTGACGAGACTCTGATCCAAGAACCCTAGATATCAGGGAACAGAGTCATGGGTTTATCGCCCCCAGTCTATTCCAAAAAACCTTGGAGTTTGGCAGGGAAGCTGAATTTGTAGGCATCATCCTAGATATGCATGGAACCAACACATCCAAAAGCTAACCACCAAAAGTAAGATGACATTGATGTCACTAAAAAGAACGATTGGAAAAAGATGGGTACAGTTGTACAATGGATATACACTACGGTTGTAAGACCAATGATAACATATGGTGCACTTGTATGGTGGTCTAAAGTAAACCAAAGACAAACAAACCTGGAGCTAGCCAAAATCCAGAGACTTACATGTCTTTGTATTACCGGTGCACAGAAAAGAACACCAAGGGCAAATATGGAAACGATCCTGAACCTCCCATCAATTGACCTTATTGTCAAAGCGGAGGCTAGAATGGGGGCATATCGTCTCCAGCTGAACGAAACCTGGAATCCAAAACCAAATGGACATACGACTATCGCCAAAATAATCACATACTCGATTTTAATCAAAGGTAGCGACTATATTATGATGCCGAAAAAAGTCCTCCAAAAACCCTTCGCCATCGAGATTGTCTCAGTAGGAAATACCGGTCCTGAACCGGTAATTGGCACCACAAAATTATCGGTAAGAACAAAAATAAACCAATGGGTGTAAAGACAACACAAAACCTACTGGCAAACTCTTCCGAAGCTCAGACACAGTAAGCTAATAGTACAACAACCATCACCTAAACTTACTTAAGAAATCCTACAACTAAACAGGAATCAAATCAGGATAATAACTGGACTTATAGCTGGACACTGTAGCCTAAGAAAACACCTTCACACAATGGGAATCTTCCAGGAAGAACCCATATGCAGACTTTGTGACGAGGAGGATGAAACCGCCAGGGATTCATCAAGCCAAGTAGCTTGAATTTTATCTTAAATACTTGACTTGACTTGAAAACTCAAGCTTTTGAAACTTTCATATTTGACTTGACTTGATTTTTGGTCTGAACTACTTGACTTGATATCAAGTAAAATCAAACTACTTGATATTACTTGATAGCGATCTGTGAAATGCGCATCGAAGCGTTAAAATAGGGGATTCACCGAGGTTACAGCCAGGCTCGTTCCTGGGGGGTCAAGTACCTGTATGCAGAATTCTTTATTCTGCCCTTTAGGCTTAAATAAAAGATTACATCTATACAGGGTGTCCCACGAGGTTTTTCCCAAATGATAACCTCGGAACGCATCATCGTATGTTCCACTGTATAATTTATTATCATTTCCTTTAACAAAGCCTCAACAAATATGACATTGCCGATTTTGTAAATTAATTTTCTAACAAAAAATGCCATAATATACCATGAGTTACATTTAAGATTCGAAAGTTGACGTCACTTGACCGAAATTGAAGCGAAAGTGGTGAAATTGGATGACAATGGTAGGAGCGCCACAAAAACTTACCCAAATTTCAATTATATTGAATGATGCGTTCCGAAGTTATTACCTGGGAAAAACGTCGTGGGACACCCTGCATATACATAGATTTTTTATTGTTATTGCGTTTTGGCAGTTAATCAGATTAATATCAAAAAAGTACTATTTTTTCAAGAGAAATCAAGTAGTTAGCTTGAAAAACTTGATTTTCAAGATACTTGATGTGTAACTACTTGACTTGACTTGAATTTCAAAAACAAATACTTGACTTGATCTTGACTTGATATCAAGTCAAGTCAAGTCAAGTAGCTTGAAAATAAAGTCAAGTCGTGAATCTCTGGAAACCGCCACCCACATAATCTTTGAATGTGAAGCTTCACGCTGATGGAGATACAGACAGGCAGGGCCAAGAAGACCCTATCTCTAAACTCACCAAAAGTAACACGGTGAAGAGGCTCCTAAACCTAATCAAGGTCACCAAACCTTTCACTGACTAAACAGACGAACAGGACAATACAATAAGCCAACGGCTGCAGTGTTGGGGCCACCTAACCCGGCGGCCTGTTCATTCTGCATCTCAACCAACTAACCAAGTTAAGGATTCTGCAATATACCCACATCTCGGAAGCCATGCCATCAATTTGTTAAAGGAGGTGTGATCCAAAACTGAAAGTTTTAGTGCAAAAAAATCTAAGAATAAATATTTGAACAGCATCTTGCTATGATGGTCCGTTTTCGAGTTAGGGCTTTTCAAAGTTACAACCAGGTTTTTGTGACGTCACACTGGATTATCAGGGGCAGTATTAACACGTGTAAAACTTTTCCAAAACAAAAGACAATTATCTCCTAGAGCGAATTGCAACCACTCAAAGTATAGGGTAGGGTTCACTGAACGAACAGAAGACTACGATTTCGGCGGTTGTGACATCACAAGTTCCTGCATAATTTATCTTCAAAAGGAATTTTCAGGAAAGGTGAGCAGCCTTCCGAATTTTAAGAATGCCTGGCATGCTTGTTCAATCCGGTATTTCTCTTCCTTGTTCGATGTCCACCCTTCCTATAGGTATTACTTCGAAGGTTATGCTGGAGTCTTTAAATATACGTTCAGGTTTTTGGGGATAATTGAGATTTTTTTCTTTCTGTTATAATTATTTCATTGGAATTTTGAAATTATTTCCAAAATCAAAAAGAGAGAATAAAGCGACGTTTTTGGGGGTGTTTTACCTATTTTGTCCGTAAATTTGAGTGGATGGCTTACCCGCCCGACAGCTTTTCCCGCTCTCCTCTTCCCAACAATTGCCCTTACCTTTAGTTAGATTTGTTTGCATCAGAAGATGTACTGACGCAGATCCGGCACTTTCACCAAATATAGTAACGTTTTCGGGGTTTCCACCGAAATAAGCAATATTTTCTTGCACCCAATGCAAGGCTAGAATTTGATCTTTCAGTCCCCAATTGCCTGGACATGCTTCATCGGCGGTGCTTAGAAAACCAAATATACCTAAAAAATGACGACTACATAAGATCCTGCCAAATCAGAAGACAATTTAAAATTTACCCAGTCGATAGTTGAAGGACACAAACACCAATCCTTGTTCTAGAAAATAATCAGGTCCGTATACACTATAACTAGAATTTCCCACCAGAAAGGCTCCTCCATAAATCCATACTAATACTGGTAACTTTTTGGTACTGATCTAGAAATTTTTTGAGTAGACAATATTGGCCTAGACGAGTGCGAAACAGTGTATTTTCCCTGATCCACCACGGTCGCTATTTCCCGACAGTCTTACGGCCTTGATACCTACTTGATCTTGATATGGAAGATAATATTATCCTGGAGATAACATTGAAGTCAATCATCTTCCCAAAGGATTCGTGAGTTCAAGGAATAATATTATTAATTACCTACAGATCGTTTCACCAGGGTTCATACTTTTGATATCGAACACGTCATAACTTGAAAAAAAAGGGTTGTCGTAGATTAATTATTCATATGACACATTCAATTTTTTTGACAAACTAAAATGAATGGCTTCTGGTTTAAGAACCGATAAACGTTTTTGAAGTCATTGATTTGTTCAAGTCAATTTCTATTTGTTAAAAAAGGAAGGCAAAAAGTATGAACCCTCGTGAAACAATGTTTACACAACATTCGATTACAAACAATTTGGGCAAGTGAGCCATGTATGGTCAGTTTCAAGTTCAGTCATCTAAAATAATCATCCATCGTGGATCGGGGACACTGGAATATACAGGGTGAATCTGAAAGTGAGGGTTTTTTTTTAACAGGGTATATATCTCGCCAAAATAAGTTGTTTGGCAAAAAATTGTTTATATAAAAAATTTAAGATAACGGAGTTACAGGTATTTTTAGGTTTTTGTACAATAAAAATCTAATTCCAAAAATCGAAGATTTATTAAAGAAAATAATATAACAATTATCACAATAATTGTTCAAAAGTATCCCCATTTGTCTGATGTGCGCATAGTGTTGCTCGGCGAATCCAAGACTCAGTGCAAGCTTGTAGAATGAAATTTTCGCGTCCTCGAATTGTTTCACTTGCATTTTGGATTCGATTACGTAGCTCTTCCAAAGTATTTATTTCTGAGGCGTAAACCAAACTTTTCATGTACCCCCACAGATAAAAATCACATGGGTTAAGGTCCGGCGACCGTGGAGGCCAAAAAATTGGTCCATTTCGTCCCACCCACCTATTAGGAAACTGACGATTTAGGTAATGTCGAACTCGACGACTAAAATGGGGTGGAGCACCATCGTGTAAGAACCACATTACTTGACGTATGTTTAAATTCAAATCTTCTAGCAATACCGGTAAATTACGTCGCAAAAATCTAAGATAGTTTGCACCTGTCATCCTATCTGGTAGAAAAAAGGGGCCGATAAGCATGCCATCAATCATTCCAGCCCAAACGTTAAGAGAAAACCTTTGCTGGAAGTTAGTTCTGCGAACAGCATGCGGATTATCCATTGACCAAACATGAGTATTCCGAAAATTGCTTACACCGTTTCTCGTAAAAGTTGCTTCATCGGTAACTAAAACATGTCTCGTAAAATGTTCGTCATGTTCATGTTGTTGTAAAAGCCATAGACAAAACTGCACTCGCTGGGGATGATCACGGGGCATTAGGGCTTGAACACGTTGGACATGATAGGGATACAATTGCTCCTGTCGTAGCGTGTGCCAAACTTTCATTTGACTGACACCCACCCGTCTTGCAATTTCTCGTGAACTAGTTGTGGGATCATCGTCAATCAAATTAATAATTTCCTCTTCAACTGCAAGCATTTGACGCGGTCTACCCCTTCCAGCATGTCTTCCCCGATTTTCCCGTAATTCTCCATAATCTCGAGCCCTCTGAATTAGACGCACAAATGCAGCTGGTTTGGGGTGGATACGTAATGGAAAACGTTCAGAATAAGCACGCGAAGCTGCAGCAGCATTTTGATGGCATTCGCCGTAAATTAGGATCATATCCACCAACTCATTGTTCTCGTACACATGTGCCATTACAAGGAAACAACACAAATTGAGGCAATCACAAAAGGAAAACTATTTTTGATGTCTGATGAATGCCACTTTTATCATAAATGCTGGAAGTCATACACACATTTCCTTTTTGGACAAGTTATTTTATGTAGCTAATGCGCCACCGATATACCATTTGTTTACATTTTTTTGTGCCGCGGTTTATTGTGACAACGGGTTTTTTTTGCACCTTTTTTTTGAGAAAATGTAAACAAAATGTTTTATAGTTGGAGTCTTCTTTAAACCTAAAAATACCTGTAACTCCGTTATCTTAAATTTTTTATATAAACAATTTTTTGCCAAACAACTTATTTTGGCGAGATATATACCCTGTTAAAAAAAACCCTCACTTTCAGATTCACCCTGTATAATATAAAAGGTATTTTTTGGGAAGATGACTGAGAAGTCTGTAAGTTAGCAAATGCCAAATAATCAATTAGTATTGGTGCATATAGTTTTGTAATTATTGACGGTAGGTACCCTAATCCCTCGTCGCTCTGAAGTATTATTGGTCAGTAGGATTATTGTGTATTTATGTAAATATAGCCGTTGGGAAATACCGACTGTCAAGGGCTACCTTTGGGGGAATACAACCATCCATTCCAAATGTGTTTTTCTATACTTTTGCACAAAATGGATGCATTTATCCTGCATCCTAGTCTAAGGGTGGGTATTATACAACTATTTTGACACATACTACATAGTAAAAGTTAACTTCTAGAATTACTATGGGAAGTAAGAAGTAACGTCATTCCAGAAATTAACTTCTAAGTTAACTGTCAAAATTAAATACCCGCCCTTAATAGTATAGGTATACTTAATGATGATATAATAGCCTTGAATCATTACTTGGACCGTGATTTAATAGTACCTACCTATGTTATATACTGAATAGGGAAGTTTTTCATTACTGTCTTGAGATTTATCTGCAAGTATAGTCGAAGCGTCGAGATTGACTATTAATCTCGAGACAAAAATAAAAACTTCCCTGCGAGGGTTGTATACTATTTTTTTACTACCCATTTGGAATAATCACATATCAATCATGAGTGACAAATCAGTACGCGATGTACGATTTTTTAAAAACAAATTTATTTCAGTTAAAACTATTACAATATTTTTACGTTTAAAATTTATTAAAATTCGAAGCGTCGAAAGTGAATGCAAAGCTCTGACTGACGACGCTCGGCAAGTAGAAGCTACAAAAAGAGAATACAGAATGCAAGCTAATGAAAAATAATATGCTGATTAAATAAAATATACAATGTAGAGCCGTATGTAACTCCTCCCTCATTAGATTCAACTAAACATGTTGAAGGGGTAGTTGAATAATTGGTTCTTGGATTGGGTCTTCTGGATTGGCTTCTTGAGCTCTTCGTGGTCTTCGTCTAAGTTGAGTCAGTTTCTTGTAGGTGCAGTAGCTGACGAAAATTACCATTAGTAGGTAAATGAAGATAGTCCAAATATTTGGGGCTTCGACGATTTCGGGAAACGGTGTAAAATTAAGTTGATTGTCCTTAATTTGGTTTTCGATTTTTTGGAGGTCATCTAATTTCAGGTCATCTAGATGAACACTCAAGTTAAGTGTTGGCAGTAGTAGTTCTTCTTGATTATTCAAATCAGGAAGTAATATAGGCTGGGTTTTTGTTTGGCCTACGTGTGCGTTGGTTATAATCACTTCTTGATTGCTGTGATTAGTTAGTTTGCAATTTTTTGGGATTTCGGCAAAATATGTACCAAATAATTTTTGGTATTCTTCTTGGTCGCTGCATTCCATTTTGACTGTTTCTTCTTTGGGAATAATTATGATCCATTTATTTGAGAGGTCCAATTGATTGACTATTGGGATCGAAATCTTAACTTCGATTTGTTGACATGATTGGACTTGGTTACTTGATTCCAATAATTGGATTGCACATGGATTTTTGGTTGTGATTTCTGTGAGATCCATTTTGTCACAGATATAGTACTGGTTCTGGATTTCCTGGCACTCCGTAGATCGATATGAGAAGTGCAATTTGTTTTTTACCAAGAATTTACTTTTTGGAATGATTGTTTTGAATTTATTTTGTTTGTAAATTGGTATTGAGTATAAATGATAATAGTCGAAATTATTTTGATAAGTGATAGGAAATCGAATTAGAAAGGTAATTTTATTGTTTAAAATAAAACTTTCTATTTTTACTAATTTCTCGTATAACAATGTATTAGCTAGAGTAACCTCTAAGGGCATACTTTTCGCATTCACAATTTTTTGGATTCTTTGCAACTCAAAATATAGATTTTCAGTTTTTATGATACTCGGATGTAGTATTTTCAGTTTCGAAAAGGTAACTGCGTTTTCTACATCTTGCAGTATTGAGTCAATGATTTCGTATAAATTAATTATTTGATTGAGAGTATCTTTAATAATATTAGCATTTTCTCGGAAAGTGCCTTTTTGTACAATTAAACTAATCTGGTTTAATTTGGATTCGAGTAAGTTCTCGTTTTTCCCAATTTGTTGAATAGTTTTATTAAATTGTTCAATCAGCTTAATCGAAATGGCATTTTCCTTTAAGGCTTTTGATTTTATTTCAATTTGATTACTCTGTAAATTTTCAATTAGTTGTTCATAACGTTCTCCATCTGATGCGTCTAGGTTACCAGTAATTGTTTTGAAAATTGATCCGACTGCATTAATAAGCCCGCGTCTTGTGCGTTGTGGGTGTGGAATTAATTCTTTTAATTTTGTTTCAACACGGTCTTGAATTAAGAATAGTATTTTTATATAATTACTAGTTTCGATCTTATATTCTGCGTGCGTATTTACGTTATCGGTCAAGTTTTTTGATTTTTCTTGAAGTTTGTTGACTTCATTTAGGATTGGATTGAGGTCATAAAAATGAATTAGCGTAAATGAATATTCTTCTAGTTTGGCTTGTCCTAATTTAATTGGCAATAGTCCAGGGTTATCAGCGATTTTTTCTAATTGAATTTTGTCTTCAAGGGCAATTGATACTTGTAGTATCCTGAAAAGAGAATATAGCAATTAGTCAAAGCTATATTTATTTTTTAATGGACGTTTTATGTTTGACAAGTGAATCTTTTCTTGAGATTCGAGTTTTGCTGTCTTTTTAGCTGTGTCGACATTTACTATTTTGGTC